GCAGGAAATCGTCAAAGGGCAGGGCGAAACTCATCTCAAAGACGTCTCCACAGAAAGCCAAATGATTGTTCTCCTGGTTGGCACTGCTGCAATCGATCCAATTGTACTCATTGCACAGCATTAGGATTTCGAACTCATGCAGCCGTATGCTAAAGTTACAGGTATACGGAACAAAACTGAGTATATCAGGCCTGGCCTTATTGGCCCAATCCTCGATGAGATCCTGGAAGAAGCACTTGTGTTTGTACACGATGAAAGCACTCGTCTTGCAGCCGGAAAGAGAAATGCTCCAATCCTGTGGTGCGTTCCACTTGGTCGGGTAGTGTATGCGCACCTTGTACTCTAAGGACTCAAATTCGGCCAGGCTGCGATACTGCAGCGATGTGGTGGCCTCCACGTGGAAGAGCTGCCCCTGGATCTTCGATGTGTAACCATCGAGTTGTGTGACCCAGGGAATTGTTACCTCTACATATGAAGCAGGTCCCACGGTAATGTGCATTGCGTTCGTCTCTTTTTCTTTGGAAAAGAGTATGTCAATAGTAGCCTCATTAAGCACGCACAATGTCACATCGAAGGATTGATAACTGCGAAGTTCTCCTGGCTGGGGTGTGGGAGTAACTTCGGCCTCCTTCCAATCTGATGGGTAAAAGTACTTGTACAGATGATCTCTTTGCCGATCTGCCCAAGGTCCATAGCTGAAATCAGTGCCTCTGAGACACCTTGCATTTATGCCCCAGACCGGAGGCGAAGGCTCCACAACGTCACCGTTGGGCAGGACAATCTGTACGGGATGTTCCGGCACAACGCCTGGCTCGTCCATGTAGAAGTATAAATCCATTTGATTGGACATCATTACCACAAAGCCCTCGCCCATGTATCGTGGTGGCTCATCAATCAAACCCGTATACTTGGGACTCGGACAGAAGAGCACTTTCGCATTTTCGACTTTGGCCTTCACAAAGTGCATGAAGTGATCCAATCTACAGACAGCTGGCTTTGTACTGTAGGTGCAATGGGCCTCCTCCACGGAAATCGATAGTGTAGTCGGCGTTAATCGGTTTCCAAACACAAAGCGACCGGAGCAGACGTCTATTTTAATCACTGGTATTAAATCCCGCCAGGTGGTGGCCTGCATAGCCTCTGAGTTCTTGACATTCTGAATCCTTTGGCTCTGTCGTGCGTTTTCCAGGTTCATGTGGTGCTCCTTCAGCTTGTTTCGTTCCTCATTGCTCGCCGCATCTGTTGGTATAAGCAGCGACGGTTCTAGACCAAAGGTCTTCTCCAGCGTGTCGTACAAATCCGATCTGTTGTATATGTGCAGCTCGTAGCCATTTAACTGGACCGAGAGGCGCGTGTCCGAGTGGGAAAGATCTATGAAAAATAATTGTTATCAAAATAGTCCGGTTACTCTGTAACGCCAACTCACCTTCTGAGACATCCTTGGGCACATAAGAGCGCCACCAGCGGAATATGAAGTATCCGTCCTGCGCCCGTACTGTGTAGTCATATGTGATATAGACAAAATCTCGAAACATTATCTTTCCTGCCAGCGGATTTAGGGCAACGGAACCGATCTTGAAGTACGCGCCCTTGATGAACCAACGATTCGCGATCTTCGTTATCAGCATTCCAATCACGCGAGAATTGTAGAAGGTGATGTACGTCACCCAGGTGATTGTGGTCAGCAGCGATGCGAGCAGCCATATCTAAAAAGATTTTAGATCGAGCAAAAATATATATATTTATATGCCCATGAATGTAATTGTTGGTTGACATTAAGAAAACAATAAAATTGATTGGAATTGTCGGTTTACAAATGTATTTTTCAAAGTTATAAGCAAATTTTATATAAATCCTGTACAATTTAGGCCGCTTTTCTTATCTTTGCCATCGCTGTAGAAAAATAACATCGTGTACAATATTTCTATTTACTTCACAGATGCGACTAATTTCCATGAGCTTAATCAAAATGAGAAGGTCCGAGAATTACGTAAAATTTTTTTAAAATCCCTCTTGAATATGGTGGGGGATACGGTTTCGCAACTGGACTTTAATGTGCACACAATCAGAGACATTGAAATAAGCAGCTGTGCAGTGATTTAATGATCTTCTAAGAACACCAGGACTCGAGAACCTTGCAGGGAGTGTCTGTGAAAATGAAACCGGTTAATTGGTCCCTCCGCTCCTCCTCAATAATGGTGCAGCCATTGGCATAGGATAAATTGAAACCACGGCCAAGGAGCTGGGCATCCATGCCCTGCTTCCGGCCGGAGTGGGCGGCCCGGAAGTGGGCGCGACCAGTCAGGGGATTGATAAAGTCCGCCCAATAACCATTGTTCATGATCTCACGCGAATTGTGGGTGGCGAAGATTACAAAAGAGCGTAGGGCTTCATCAGCATCAGTGTCCGTGAATCGCAATCCAATCATGCTGAAGTTCATCGAGCTGCCAAAGCGGGCATACGGATGATGGAACAGGCGACGCATGTAGGTCACCAGCAACTTGGGGCAAGCCACTACACACATCTCGGAAGGTGCGACCACAGACCCGAGAATGTTATCGTTTCCCTTGACTAAAGTCTGATCATCGGCCGGATAGTCGGCGGCGGCATAAGGCTGATCCCCCGAAGAAATAAGACCCTGATAAGCCAGACCCACACAGTGCGGCAAGTAGAATAGATCAGTATGGCGGCTGTGCAGAATGGGATACTGAGGATCTATCGCTCCCTGCTCATCGTCCGGCTCGACGTCGTCGACGTCGTCGAAAAAGACCAACTCGGGAAAGCTGCTGCTCCCACTGGCTCGCCGTATGTGGGTCAGAATCTGGCCATGTCGCGTTGCGAGGAATTGAATCAGCGTTCGCAAAGCCTGCATATCTTGACTGGGAAGATTGTCGCAGTTGCAAGGTTCGTCAAGTATTTGGATTCTCTTAGCTGACTTCAGACCACGAAAATAATTGCACTCTGAATGTCTTTGGGGATAATGGAAATTTTGATGATTTCTTTGATGACTGCGTTGAAAACGAGAAAAAAATGCGACTTTCTAAACTCTACCTGACAGACAGCTTTTCTATGGGCACGTTCGATTCTGGAAATTTGTATTCAAATGCTAGTCCCTAAATGTATACTAGTCCCAAAATATTGAAGTCTTTATATAGAGTGGAAAAAGGCTTCAATGAATCGGCTTTACAAGACGAAAGGAATCTAAACACGGCAGAGTAATTTTGATTTATAAACCTATGTTTACTCAAGCCTATCCTTACTTCTCGAACGAATAAATGATCACAGCCAAATCAAGCATTAATAAATCACTCTATAAATTCTATATAAAATCATTTCTAGTGTTCTATATTGAAAGATGTCCACATATAAAAGCTAACTATATGCGGACTACAATTGCACGAACAAACACATGATCAAACCTACTTGCTGCAATATTATTACAATAATTTATGTCATTACGATTAGATGAAGTAAGGTAATTTTCACAAATAAACAAAAAATTGGCACCATTTATTACACAAGTAATCTATGGGTTTACTATTTTTTAAAGTATTTTTAGTGGGACTTCAGTGCCTTAATGGACAGTTTATTTTAGTTTTAATGTTAATTGAGTGTTAAATGAGCTTAAATACTTTAATAAAATGGAATATAGTTGGATCCGAAATATACAGGAAGCTTGGAATTCTTCATTCTATATTTTGAGCTCTAGATTAGCCTAGAAACCATTAGTCTTATCTTCGATAGGGTGTCGGAGTGAGAAAGCGGAGGAGTATGTGTGTGTCAATGACCAAATCCCGCTGATTGATAAGCTTTCCGCTGCTCCCTTTGACCATTAAAGCAATAAACGTGGAGGTAAGGCCAGTTGTCGGTTGATTCACTGGCATGCCAGTCGTATTAATCAAATTATACCGACATGCCCTCATGATGAGTATTAAGTGTCGCATTCTGAAGCGTATTCTCACCATGCGCGCATCCAGGTTCATGTCGTTCAAGGAGACATTGTGGGTGCTGTTCCAGGTGCCCACTTCTGGGAATCCCATGGGCAGGCTGTCATCGCTGGTGTCCTCCACTTCCAACGCCTCCATCGCTGTTCTCTGTGTGTGTGTGTGTGCGGGGCGGTGTGGGTTGGATGCGCCTGCTGCCTTTGTTGATGTTGCTGTTGTTACTGCTGCTACTCAGATTTTGTACTCGCGATTAGCGATCACTCATCGCCGCGCTCATTATCACCGATCGCAGGCTGTATATATCATTCGATTATGGATTGCACACATTGGGCTCCTTATTTTAAATTAAATTTACTATTCTACACACACTGTAACTGAACGCAGACACACACGCACACAGGTTCGATTTTTCCCACTTTGTTTCGGAGGTCGCGGGTGTCTCAATTTTCGATTCGTTTTTTCTCGCTTTCTCATCGAGGCAGCGTACTGCCCTTTATCACAGCAAGAGTTGCAGCTACTCCGTCGCGTTAAAAGCTTGATTAGCTCATTTATCGCTAACTATAAAGCGCGAAAAAAATAAAAATAATTTCGCCTCGGACGAAAACACTCCCATCGTTACTTCTTCGCGAACAGCTGATCGATCAGGGATACACAACAAGCTGTCATTAGATAGTTGGCAACGCCGGGAGACGTGCGATAGTTACGGCTCACTGTAGAGATGCGCACGTTTCTCATAATGATGGCGCGTCAAGCTTGATAAATACAATTTTCCGAAACATAAGAAAGAGCTAATCTAAAAACCAATTTCTATTGATTTTGCTCTAGTCATATTTGTTAAATATATTTTAACATCATAATAATCATCATAAACATCATCATAATAAATAAAACAATATACGCAGCAGGGATTAAACTGATTAATAATTTTCATTATGATTGATGTTTTCTCAATCTTTCTCATCGAATTAATTGTCAAAAGATGTCCAATTAATTACGGTTGAAATATATCAGTATCGCTATCTTTGTCATCTGGTCACGACGCGTCACGACATAGAAAGTCCTCACGCTGCCATCGCTAACGGGGCACTCGCGGCTACGCGTTAGTCCCTTTCAAACAGCCGTGTGATTCACTTCGCTCGAAATAAAATAAATTGAAGGCAGAGAAAAGCTCTTGCGATTCAGTTGTTAACTTGCATTTAACAAACAAACCAATTCCGCTGACCACTGGTGATGTCACAGCTGCGCTCGAAAGTCATTACCCTCTACAAGCACGTAAGTTGCGCACAATTTCCCGGCGGCACGTGCACCCCCACCCACCCAAAAAACCGAGAAAAGTTCAACCAAGACCATCCCCAATTGACATTGCGTAAACACTTGCAGTTGCAGTATTTGGGCCGCGAATATCCCGGCCTGAACGGGCCGCAGAAGTTCAGGAAGCAGATCCACGATGCCTTCATGAACCACAAGGATGAGCAGGACCCCAAGAAGATCGTCGCCCTGCTGGCCCAAGGACGCTACTTGGCCAAGGAGGTGGAGGCCCTGTACTCCCTGAAGAAATACCGAAGTGTTAAGCAGCGCTACAGCTACAATGACTAAGCGGGCGGCTCGGAATACGGAGGGCAGGAGGCGTGGCAGCGATGCGGAAATCGTGGCGAAAATTCAAGGACTGATGCTGTGGATCGGAGGAGGAACAATCGTGAGAACATGATACGTTTCGCCTTGCTTGTCGCACACAAAACATATACCCCAAACATATACATACTGATATGCATATTGTTCGGCCAAAAGAAAAGAAACGCAACCCAAACACAACAATAATTTCGAATGTCTTGTCAATGTCCAACTTTAAGTTTGTTATTGAGGCACCAAAAAAAGCGAAAAACGGACGTAGCGAATAAACGAAGCAGTCATTGAATAAGCTAATTGACTTTCATGATTTGAAAACAAATGTGTATTTTGCTATAAAAATAGCCAAGACACTTGGTTGCTTGGAATGTTAACATGTGTGGCGTTATCATTCCTGTTTTAAGACCATTTTGGAAGTAGTTTAGCAATAATTAGCCATATTCCCATTTCAGGTGTACGTTCTCCGGTTCGATACCCACTTTCCCTCTAAGCGTTGACCTTGGAGCGATTCCGCCGGAAGGGGCCGGGCAGGTGTATGTTTATCTAGGTCTATTTCGGATATGTCGCTGTGATAAAAGTATCTATCAGATATTCGGTACGCCTGCCAACATACCGAATGCGTTGGGCGCCGTCTCGCCGTCGCGTATTGACAATACTGCGTATTTAAATTCATCTGACCGCTGATCGCAGGTCGCCCCAGTATACTCGTATATGTACATATATGTAGAGCACACGCTGACCATTTAACTGTCAATGTTTTGGTGATAAACAACCGCCGACGTTTTCGAGTTGATTGAGCTTTTTGTTTCGCGCTGACGAAAACATGAAAGCTCCCTTGCAATGCAACTAAAGATCTACTTTTCTACCATTCACTATTCAATGTTATCAGCGTGCCTTTTACTGATAACAGGGAGCAGGAATGCCAGTGCAAAAAGCGCACGCTCACTGTAAATAGATTGTTACATGATAATCTGTCAGCTATTTTCGTATTGACGTAGGCTTGTCTTTCACGGACTTTCAATTGATAGAGCTGGTAAGGCAAAATACTTAAGTAATCTTAAGTAAATAACCATATTTACATCTCATTAATTAAGACGCGTTTATCAACAATATGATGTTTACAAAAGAATTATCTTGACTTTATTTGACTTTAAAAGCCTATAATTATTCCCATTAATCAATGCATTTAATGAAGTTTAGTTCTTTGATGAAATTCTTGAGAGCTGAACATCATTAAAATTTGTAACTTAACAATTTGTTTAGCCTAAATTGCTCGCTGGAGTAATGAAATGAAATTCGGAGTTTTAATGCGTTTGCAACTATATTTGATGCCTAATGTATTAAGTAAACACTAAATCATTGACACTTTGAATTTCCTAATATATATAAGCCTTAGAGGATTAAACATTTATTATTATAATTAAGTTTTACGGTCAAAACCCTTGGAAAGATTTGTGCGCGGGGAGGCATACAGAACAAAAATAATATTCGCATTGGAGTACACCTAATTCTACAAGTCCTAGCCTAAAATCACATTCTTTTCCAGTGGAAAGCGTTATGGTGGTGACTTGGGGATATCGTAGAGCAGCTATCCACATTTAGCCGAACTCAAAGCCGAGCACCTCGTCCAGTGCGTAGTCAAAGAGTCGAAAGTCTTCCTCATATATATCGTACAGCTTGCGTATGGCACCGATGGGCAAGGGATCAAAATAGGTGCGCAGATTGGCTCGAGTGCTCGAAGGCTTGTGGCCAGTGGGGAATGTTAGATTGTCGGCTCCAGCCAGGTAGAGAGCCAGGGCGGAGTCGTCCAAGAGAGTGTCGTATTTGCCTGGGAAAATGGTATGGTAAGCGTTGGTGTCTCGGTAATACGATATTACAACTCACCCACTACGTTGTATTTCATTACACAGGGATTGCACAGCTTGGCTATAACCTCCCAGTGCTCGTTGTAGTCAGACTGATTGGCCCGGCTTAGCTCCGGAGTGACCAGATATTCGATGAACTCCCCAAAGGTGACGTCGTCGCCGCGTTCCAGCGAATTGTTGCTGGCTCCCGGCCGCAGTTCCTTCACGATTTGGCGTCCCACGCGCGATTGGAAGTAGCGGGCACTGGGGGCATCCCCCTCCAACTTATTCCGATAGGCGGAGAGAAGGCGCTCGAACGGGTGTCGCACCAGGATAAATCGCGTGTACTCGTCGCTGAGAACATGTTGCTGTTCCGCTTCAGATAGATCGTAGAACTTTGTGAACATGCCCACGGAGTGAGCCAAAGATCCCGGAATCTGGAGGGGATCGGTTCCGTTGTGCCACTTCTTTGTGAGCATCATCAGCACACGTTTCCAGTTTGTACACGCAACCTGGAAAACGAAGAATCATATTTATGGATTTGTTTAGTTGAACACTACTCTTCGGCCAATTAAACCAAATAAACAAGAAAAATCATTTATCTTCGTTTACATTATGAAGAATTGCAAATTGAAGGTTGCGTTTCCCGAAAAATAATACAAGATTTCGGAGAAGTGAATCACGCATTTCACCAATGAATATAAAGATAGGACACAACCGATAAGCAGAATACATGAAACCCTTTTCCAAAAAATTGTTCATGAGTGGATCGTGTATATAATGGACTGATTTATCTATGAGCAGGCGTCATCCTACACACTCACCATAAAACTATTCACTACTTACTGATAGTCTTCTTAATAGCTGACAATTATATTGTAATTAAATTCTAACAGATTGACGTAGTAAAAAGGGTTCTGACACAACAATCAACTGTGATTAGACAATTAATTAATCGACATTAGTGGTTAATGTATACAGTTAATAATTCGAGAGTTTGTATTTAATTGAAGTGAAGCAATGATTTTATAAAGTTTACGTGAAGTGAAATTGAGACCATTAAGTGAATATGTGATATAAAAAATTTAAAAATAACCAAGACCTTTTTATAAAAAACGAAAAGCAAGAGGAACCGACAAAAAACTGCGACTTTCAGGGGGCAGCGATAAATGAAATCTCCTCAACATATGACGAACTGAATTACTTTGGTTTTAATTGCCAAGTGCAATAAATTATAATCTTCGCCAAGAGAGATGGCCGGATGAGTTTTTCTACTTGGAGGCATTGGGCAATAAGTCAAGTTGTTAAAGTGAACTAACGAAAACTATGCACTACAACAACTAGGGGCAAGCTAAACACATAAATACGAGTCGGAGTATATATACAAAGGCATTTTGTTGGACGGCCAATGTCGAGCCCAATTAAACACCGCAAAAACATTTCACATTACAAAAGCAAACAAGTCCATGTACGTTTAGCCCGCGAAAAGCGTAGGTAAAATGTGAGGCAATATACAGAAATACACAAAAACATCAGCGGCAAGGTGATGATATGTCAAAATGTCGATCTAAAGTGAAATGCACACTGTTATTTTAAGCAAAAATACACGTTTTTCCCTGTCACTTATCTCAATTGATTGACTGTTTACAAACACTTTCTAAATAATCCGAATCCTTAGACAAGCTTTGCAGGTGAATGTGAGCTGTTGAGTGTTTAAACAACTTTAAAAACTTGGGAAAGTGTCAATATGCCAGATGAAATAACACGTGAAACCTAATATCAGGCGTAGTTCGTTACTTGTTAGTCGTCGATCAGCCTTTTGTTTAAAATTTTTTAGAATCCCTATTTGAGTATTAGATATAATCACTAAGAAGGGCAATATAATGTTGGACATATTAGTGAAGGCTACTCGAGTCATTCCCGATACCTGATAAATATAGAATCATAATCACAAAAAGGGCCAGCAAAATGTTGGATAACCTCCCAATACGTAAGCGATAAACGCAACAACCTAAATCTAACGCAATTTCTTTATGGCCATTAAAGCAACACGCGATGGTCACATAAAGTGACCGACCGGAGTGGCGAGCCCCTTTGGGGGGCAGAAAAGGTGGAGCTGGTTAGCGAGGGTATTGGCCAAGGGTAAGCATAAACAATTTACGACTTCATGGAAGAACGATCCGAGGGAACATGCAAAGCTAGCCACTCAACAAGTGGCAATGCGAATGGGAATGCGGAGCCAGCAATTGAGATCTGTAAGGCTCCACTGACCCCTCCTGCTTGGTGAAATCGAAACCAGTCGCGCTAATGTGGAATGATAGTCATTGAAGAAATGCCAAGATAACAGGGAACGTGTGTCGGGCCATTCAGGTGGCATGTTACCCAAACACGCCCCCAGGCAAGTGGAACGCTAGCATTGCGTTGCTAGCAAATCTTGTTTGGCTTTATCTTGGGGGCTTTGCGAGTCCAGTCAAGTTGAGTAGACTAAACAATGTAATTACCTCAGCGGTGCAACAATACAAATTACTTTAATCTCTGAATCTCTTCACTGTCCCGAAGTACCTATAATTTAGTGCATATTGAATAACTTTCCATAAAAGTTAAAGTTGTGAGGGTTCAAAGGGCAACGACAACATGAAACACCATGCTATTTCCGTGCCACTCACCCATCTTCAAATGCCCAAGAAACACCTGCAATCTAATCTCAAAATTCTGGTTTGATGTTTTCCAATAACTCATTTTGTGATAAGGGAAAACCTGCAAGGCAATTTTTGATAGTTGATTCCCCAAAAATTTAATTTCCTAATCCAATTATGAAAATCCGAAAGCGACTCATCAGTGGGCAACACATTAACTTAATGAATAGATTACTACTATCTAGAGCCATGCGCGTCATTGGATGGCCTCTTGGGCTAAATTTAAATCTATTTAAATTTTTTAAAATTACGATTATCAAATGGAGCCAATAGCTAGACAGAATCTAAGCGCACATTGGCCTTTGACTTGAATCTAAAAGATTTGCGCTTTAAGATTAATGGCAAATGCAAATTAAATGGCAACGACTTACAAACGGCTGGCCTATAATCGCTGGCCATTTGAGAGAGGTCATAATTGCAGCTTGCCGTGGATTTCTGGCCGCTGTAATTGATCGTTAAATTGCATGAAATCAGCACTATTATTGTATGCACTTACGGGTATATAAAGCTGACACGAGAACGGACGCCCCTTTTCGATAAGCCAGAAGTGGCGCGAGCTTAGCAATCAAATGCACTCGTTATTGAACACTCTGTTAATCTAATCAATTAAGTCGCATTGTCAGGATTTTATGCCTGGAAAATCGGATTATTTGGGGAAATGTCTGCGATGTCGTTTAGCAAAGCTTGAGTCTAATTGTAGGCCAAATAAACATACATACAATCAAGCATCATTTATACCGATGCCAAAGCCGCAACATCAACAAAACCTCAGCATGTGCTTCAAATTGAATTTGACGAGAAACAAGTTTCTATAAACAAAGCGAAGGCAAAAGCTGAAAACTGAGACACAGATGCCGATTTTTGACTAATGTATGCTGAGGTCTTTAATGGCACAGCACATGGCAACCGCGGAGTAGATTTATCAACACATTTATGCTTGGGGATGCTGTTATTTGAACTGCGATCAAATTTAAGTAATTCATGAATACAACGATTATTGATTTCTTTCTATAGAAGCTTAATAAAAAATGTCAGATATTGTTTTACCGGATATGGTTTAAACTAACGATAAATACAGGAGTTTAAATCTTGCAAAATTAATTTGAAAACTGGATAAAAACTACCGCGAATAAACTCAATATAAAACAAGTAATCAAAATATTTAGCTGCATAAGCCCATTTATACAAAAAACAACCACATGCCCCTATCTCGCACCCCAATTTGCAGAGCCAGCATTTGAATTTGTTCCCGTTCCAGTTAATTCAGACGTACCTTGGGCACATAACAGTATAGCAGCCTGTGCTCTTTGTCCACGATCATGTGGTCCATCTGCAGCTCGCTGAGATCCTCTAAAGTTTGTGTGTGGTCGCCGAGCAACTCGCATTGGCGCTGCATGAACTCCTGTCGTTGAATATTAATGGTTTGGGTCAGCTCCAAGCTGCGGCGGGTAATTTTAACGTTATTATTATTGCCATCTTCGAACGGGAGGCCAGTGGAGAAATTTCCCAGGAGCAAAACGCCGATTGAAATGCAAAACGAAAGCCAAACCAGTTGATCCATATTAACCGCGATTTGCTGCCCGACTTTCGAATCGGGTGGTTGACAATCGACTGAGATACTATCATTGGTTTTAGCTGAATTTAACTCTGTCGCTGGCGCCCGAAATACTTGACGCGATGGACGAACTTTAGGGTGGCTGCGTTCTCAATGCCCAGCTCCTTTAAAGTAGCCCTGCCGCTGGAGCGTTGGTCGTCGATCGGCTGATTCGTGTCCACGTTGAGCAGTCCAAAACATCGCCATAGAAACCGCCACGAGACGAACGCGCGATGATCGTGCCCGTTGCGCTGAGCGGAGTAGACTAACTCGCCGGTGGAGCTGGCCACCGCAACTGGTTGCCGTCGTTCGTCGGCGTCGTCGGCGATTCCCCGACGCCGAAAACGCTCTTCGCACCGCTCGCGCTGCGTGCGTTTGTGCTGCGCCCGTGAGATCAAAGCAATTGCCCTCTTCAGCTGAGCGATCGTCGGCTCGTGGTGGTGGAGCTGCAAGAAACCGACCAGTTAGAGGAGAATAGTTTGTCAAGAGACATCAAGAGAGTTTAAGGGAGAGGTTTAAGCCTAACTATGGGACAGCAAGTTCAGGCCAGAAATATTCTGGAGAGCCAAAAAATCACTTTAACCTGGTAAGCAGTTGAAGAATCTGGATTTAGTGTGTTCAAAAGGTATGGAATTAAAAAGTCTATGGAGTATTAGTAGTAGAATAACTGGAGAACATCTTAAGAATGTAAAAGGGTTCTGACCTACTTTCGCTGCCTTATTATATATGACTTTCTGTCAGAGCTCAAGCTTTTGATTGACGACGTTGCAGAAAGCAAGTGCAAGCAGCTGCGATAAAAATCAATTCAAAAATTCAATGCAATACTGACCACCACTGTGAGGGTGCTGAGTCCATCCCGCTGCACATAGATCGTTGTGGCCCGTCCCTCGGCGATAGCAATCTGGAATTGTGAAATATATAGACTATAGTACGTCCAGTACGCAATGGATCCGCGTAAGGGGCACGGATATGTTCATAATAAAAGTCCATCAATTAGCACGTTGATTGTACGGCAGTAGGTCAGTAGTCAATGGCCAATATCGGTGACGAAAGCAAAGCAAGAACGAACAGCTCAAAGTGCTAATTGCAACTGGTATTAGTGGGTTGGAGGATTAACTGGTTATATGGAAGCCATACAGGCTGTTCATATTTGCACTTTGGTGAACCTAGTTTTGGCGATCTAGTTTTGTCAATCAACCAGTCTATTATCAAACAAAATTTGCAGTCTTTTATTATGCAGATTAAGGCGATTTGAACACAATGTTGCAGAAAGTGTGGAATTATCTAGAACTAAGCCGAATTAGTAGCATTCAAATGATTGACCGACCATACATACAATTTTCAAGATTGTGTCAAAACACGATTTACTAATGAAGGGAGAACTTTTGCAAAGGATTGACTAGTTATAAAGCACAACATACATACTTCAATGAAATAGATAAGCAACCATATTCTTGAAACGTGGTAATTGATATTAATATAATATAACTAAGGTCTAGGGCCTTAGTTAGTGCCTCCCGAGATATGAGTATTATAAGCCTTCCGCGGGTTAGACTGGGTACCAGAAGACAAATAATATGATGATATTACCTCCCCCCGCAGTTCAGTGTTTGTTATATCGTGCGGAATGTCGGAAAGAGCCTGAACATCCTGCAGGATGCGTCGTAGTTCCTGGGACGTGCTGGCCAACATGGCATTGTGTTCAGATCGATCAAAGTCGTTCCGCACGCGGCGAGCAGTCTTAACATACCGGGGATTGCTCCTCCGCTTCTTTTTCTTTCCTAGAATGGGCTCGTTTCTATTGCGAGCCTCTCGCACGGCCTTCTTGCGTAAATTGAGCGGCATTTTCTGCAGTTTCTTGTAGGTAAGCACATTACTCCTTTCTGGTCTTTTCTCCTTGAGTGTAGATGGTTCCAGTTGACTTCTTCTGAATGGCGAACGATCTCTGTTGCCACTGCGGTCCATTGTAATGCTCCTAATTACTCTTTACTTTATATGCCGAAAAACAATTTTTATATGTTCTGCAACAGCTGTTTTATGACGCTGCCATACTTCTGGAGAGAAGCTATCGCTGTTGTCGATATATCGATAGCTAGCTCACACCTCTACATGGGCGCGCATATTTGAAAAGTTTTTTATGTGAAATATAATGGTTCAAACACACAAACGCACATCAAGAAAATGATTGCTAACACATATAAAATATTATTAATATATATAGGGAAATAATTAGCTCAGTTTGCTTTGCCTTGCTTAACATTTTAAATTCCTTTTCGTTTTTCCTGCAACTTTTGCTTTAAAATTGATCTGTTTCTCAAAAATGTCTAAAGGCACAGGACCTTTGTCTAAATTGTACAATATTACCATCAGTACTATTGATAAAATTGTTCCAAACGCAGTCCAGCCACTTTGGCAATCTCCAGCCGGTGAGTAGATCCATTAACTATTACACAATAAATGTTAATCACGTTCCATTCAGGCCCCCGCACTGTGTTTTTTTGGGCGCCAGCGTTTAAATGGGTACGTCAAAATATATAAAGGTTTAATCCTAAAGTCTCCTACTAGCTAACCTTAAATGTAAGGAAAAACCTTGTTCAAGAGAGAGATGTTGTCAAAGTGTCGCCTAATTGATTGATTTTTTTATATTTTCAGTCCTTAGTGCTGGCTGGACTGAGCGATACGCTAAATCGTCCTGCTGCCAATATATCAGTAAATCAGTGCGCGACCTTGGCACTCACGGGCTTGATTTGGTCTCGTTATTCAGTGGTCATAACACCCAAGAACTACAATCTGCTGGCCGTCAACATAGCCGTCTTCATCATCCAAGGTTATCTGGTGGGCAAGCACCTTAGATGGCGCAGCGAGAATTCTCGGAATGCGGTGTTCAATCATTCGAACTACTCAATCAAATCGGAGGATGATTGGTAGCAAGAGAAACAATTTATAGAAAGTTGGCGTTGTTTAAAATCATCTGAAATGAACGTGGTATCAACCCAAATGCAAAAGGTCTGGGAACCTTTAATTTAATTCTTGGAAATCTATGTGCACTGAATACCGACGTGTGTAGTTAATCTAATAAGAAAATGCAATTGATCTTTCAATAAAGACCATTCTGTGCCTACAAATGCGTTCCAACGAGAAAATCCATTAAAACAATATCCAAAAATTAACCTGAAAATAAGAAATCGATTTTGTTAGAAAGCAACCCCGTGAAAACCAGAAAAACCATCATATTTTGTGTGCCGCTCTGAAGCTTTACAGTTTTTATTCCTTTTTCTCTTATGCATTCTTAAAATCATCATCGTATAGCTTCTGCTCGAAACTAAGAACTCTATCGATAAAACGAATGTGTCACGCCCCGATGTTCTGGGGCGCTGGCTTGGGCATGTGACTTATGACTAGAAAATTATAATATAGGAGACGTTGGCATAATACTATGTCTAAGACATAGGCAATCGGCTTGGGGTCTCCGGCTGAGGTCCTGGATGCCGTGCCTGTGGCCCTTCGCACGGCCGTGATAGTGCGCACAAGCCCCGATTTGATTGGTGATTGGTCGTCCTGTCGCCGGTCGTTCTGCAGCCAATGCGCTGCCTCCAAAAAGGACTCGTCGTTGGCCTCCTGGCCGGGAGGAGGGTGGTGTTCTCGGGTCGGGGGTAGCTGTAGATGGCAGCCCGGCAATGCAGTTGGCAGCACTTCTTTTGGCCATTCGCACACACTCACAGACTTTCTGCCCGACCAACAGGCGTATACTTGATATATTACGTATACCACTCGATGCGCATGTTAGCGAGGCAGAGAATCCTTCTGGAATCCTAATGTGTGTGTGTGTGTGTGTGAGGGGCCACTTGACACGTTGCCAAAGGAAATGCATTGCAGGGCGGCTGGCTATCCCTCCAATTCCGGAGATGCTCCCTTTCGGCCGGGCTTCGTCGCCGCTGTGCGTTGCGATTGGTTGGTCAGACCTTCGTCGGTTGCAGCGGAAAATCGGCTCGACTTCTGGGTCTCCTCCCCAATTGGCCAACGAGGCTTCCTTTAGGCCTGCAGCGTCTGCAATGGGGATAAAATGGGGGATCACATTAGTTTTGGCTGCCAAAATAAGACTTTTTAATAGTTTTGTAGCAAAAGGGCTTTCATTTATTCTCAACAAATTTATTTTGGAAATGTACCAAATGCAAGATTACATTTTTGTGCCACTTACACAGCCTCTTATAAAAGGAATAGATAGGCATTTAAGCATAAGCAAAGAACTATTTTGAATTTCGAATATCAGCCTTTATTTATAAATCCTCTTGATGAACAACTTTACAATATGATTATAAAATGTAATATGATTATCATCAGATTGCAAAGTGATAATATAGTAAATTTGTAACTTCGAATTTGCTTTTAAATTAATGAAATCTCTTTTAATATAATTGGTAAGTATGGCATTTTTCGAAATTACACTTATTTCGATCTCTGGGGTTTTGTTAATGATCACCATATTTATAGGAAATCATTTAGGGGTCGTCTCCCCCAAACTTTGACCATCCCGACCATCTATTCTTATCTTTGGTTTTCATAGTCCTGGGCCACTGTGCCACGGTGTTGGTCTTTATTGGTGGAATGGGTGGGTAATGGGCCACTGCCAAGATGGTAGCTTGCCAAAATCTTGCCTAGCATTTTTTCTCACGCTCGCTTCCAAAAAAAAGAGTTTTGGAGTTTTGCCAATAAGTTTTCCAAGACGCGCGGCAGACACGCCGTCTGCTCCGATCGTTCGCCGGAATGAGCTGCATTTCCCGGCACCCTCATCTTGTCTTTACCCCGCCTGGATGGATGACTTCGGCTGAGTTTTCCCATTGACTTAGGTCAGGAACTGTATTATTGAACAGCTGCCAATTGCGGCGAGCCCCAAATATTATTCATTCCAGACAATTCCCCATCCCAATTTCACACGCACGTGTTAAGTTAACGTGAATTATGTGCCATGGCAAGTTTTCCAGATATGTACCAGAAACACATCCAAACGTTGCCAAGGGACAACACTTGGTTTTAATTGCCTGCGACACAGCTGCTTAATCAATTTATGAGCTTGGTCCGAAATCATTGGCACAGTGTGATAAATAACCATTCGGATATGTTGCCTCTTTTTTCCCCATCCATTATTCATCGTGGTCAAAGAGACTTAAAGTGGCAAATGAGTGATGGCTTTGATGTGCCTTATGTAAGTGAATATCAGGAAATTCAGAAATGAGAAGACTTACACAACGGCAAACTGAACTGAATTAAGCTGCTTGGCATTTGAGGTACGTCAATTTGAAAGGTCAGTCAAATATAGTTCTATATAAACTATCTTTATTTTATAGCAACTAATAAAGACTTAATTGGTCAATTTGCTCCTGATTTTAATACATTTACATTTTTGTAATTCCCAAATACATTTTTTCATTGTTTTGCTACGTTCCGCAGAATTCATGCGAATAAATCTGTGCAGGAAAATATATCCTATAGAAGGCAAGAAGTGCAAAGCCTTTGACGTTTGAAACAAATTGCGCTGTCTTAAAATTTTCTTATTTCTGGGCGTTGTGCAGTCCCAGCTATATATGCATGCGCTTTTGCTGATTTTCAATGATTTTCATAGGAAGAATATCGCTTGTATTTATTTGTTCTAAAAGCCGAAATTGTGAAATTCGCAATTTGGTTGCCCAAAAGTTGATTCCCATTTTCCTATTTGTTCGCTGTTTAAATTTTCTCTCGTTTGGTGGCTGGTGGCTCATTTCGCCTTGTTGAATTTTTCATTTACCTTGCTATTTTTGGACACTCTTGATGGGCAGAAGATCGAAGGCGAAAGGCGCAGAATAGCGATAAAAACGTCAAGACCGAAGGAGAAAAGCCCGAGAAAATTGCGCAGAACTGTCGCCTGCCCTTATGTACCCAAAAAAAAAAAAAAAATAAACGTGTATATATGGGGTGGTTGGGGGTCCACCAACTGTATTATGTACCACATATAAATAGTATTCAGACTGCGGCTCTCTATGTGTTCTTGGATCTTTGAGTCGCGATGACGCGCAATTGACGCGGGCACAGAAGCGTTGAAAGCGTCGCCGCTGCTTCTATTTTCGTGGACACGACTAATACTGTGGTAGCGAGTGAGATACAGATTCGGATTCGGCAACAGATACAAATGCATCTGGGCGTGTATTTCGTTTTAATCTATTTCAGTTGCTTCATCGAAGATGTGCTCTTTTTTCTTTTCTGGTTCCATCTGTCTGTGTTTTTGCCTCTGTCTATAGGGCGACGGCGCAAATTGTAATTAGTGTTAGTTTTTCTTAGCTTTAATTAGAATTTGCTTAATTTGCACGTCGGCATGTGTTTTATGGTAAACAAATGAACCTTGAGATGCAGTTAGCCTGCAGTTTATTTATCGAATGTGCCAGCTTTAAATTAGGTTAAATTGGGGGTAAGAAGAGAAGGGGGAGGACTGTTGCGCAATCATATTTATTGTTTAAAGCAGTACCCTTTCCATTAATTACATCATCAGACAGCAGTTGGATCTGAAACATTATTCCATTCTTTAAAATCTTTTTGAATTGCATAATCACTAGAAAAGAAAAATTCAAAATAATAACACTATCAAAAGATCTTGTTCTTGCAATATAATTATTTAGCCTTAGCTATTTACGAGTACTAGTATATATGTACACACATGTAGCAACATTTTTGAATAATCTCATTTCCAAATATTTCCCATTTTATCATATTTAGCCACGCAAGTTTCCTATGCATTTTGTGTGAATATTTTTAAAAGAACAGGAACAACATTTCGCTTTGTATTTATGTCTGCTCGATATAGCTTCACAGGTTTGGTCTATTTTTATTAACTGCAATGAGTTGTGTAAAATAGAAAGCATGGAGTGCAACTGCAATACAGAGGCGTTGTCACAGCTGTGAAATCTGATGAAAACTGAAAGTCAATCAAAACAGCAGCGAAAGGAAAACCAAACGAGCGAAAATGCGAAAAGATAAATAGAAAATCGTAATCGGAAAATTGGCAGGCTGCAAATATTAACTGACTGCCAAAAACAAAAAAAGCGATGAACTGAACATAAAAAAAATTGCTTGAATATTGGCCAATAAATTTTACAAGACGTTGACAGTTGGCCAACAGCAAACGGCCTTGCCGAAGGCCAATCAAACGTCATTATTTCGTTTGGCCATGTGTGTCTGTGTTGGTGGGTGATAAACACAATCATAATGATAATTGGACACCTGTTGGCAACTGCTGGCTGGTTTCTGGCCAAGAATTCCTTGGCCAATTCAACAACAATCGGTGACGTAGCGTCGAACTGGGCAGCTCGTCAAAAATGTGCGTCAGCAATTAAAATCATAATGAGAGTGCCAAGTTAGAGGCGCCACCCCGCCAAAGGAGAACCGCTGCCAAGGCCCCAATCCCAGTCCCAATCCCACACGCCAGCCACGCGACTCGCATTCCACAGGATGCGTTGCCAACGATGATGCCAAAAATCTTGATGCCAAGAAGCTGCCGACAGCGGGCTGCGTTTGTTTATGTTTATGTTCGTGGCGTTTTGGCTTCCAGGGAGTGAAAAACGGCCCAAAGAAAAGGGCGGTAACGGAGGAAAAAAGGCGCAATGTGGGAAAGAGTTGGAAACACAACGATGGAGAAGCGTGAATTCTCTGCCATATATGCAGATAAGCCGAGCCCCTAGAGATATTCTATAATATCTAGAATTATAACATTAGAAGTATAACATTTTCATTTAGAAAAACTAGACCAACCTTACAATCAAGCGAAATTGGACAATACAAAACGAATTTCTTGGAAACGTACTAAATAATTCTAACTACATGTAATACCCACAAAATGCTCTATTCGGTTTACTGTAATCAAACAACTCCCTTTTTCGGATCTTGGGACAGCTCCTTCTTGGCAAGCCATTCAACTTGCCAAGTAGGGAAGCTTGAATCATAAAGTAACGCCTCGCAAGATTGAAAATTGTTAAGTGTTGGGCACTGCAGCAGCAGCAGCAGCAGCAGCAAAATCAACACCGCAGACTTGTAGGCGCTGCCAATCGCAGACTGCGACAATGCGGCGTATACGTAATGCAGCAGAAGTCGCCCCAACCCGCACACATAACGTATACGCAGTGCAGGACAAAGTTGCGGGCCAAATGCATAACAAATAAATAACAAAGGCCTGACCATCATTATAAAAAAGGCAAAGAGCGCCGAAGTTGCAAAAAAATGGAAGCGGACAGTTCAAAGGATAGCGAGCCGCACTAATAAGTTTTAAGAAAAATGAAAATGAAAAATCGTTTGTGCATTTTTATAAGTGCAAAAATATGCAAATAGAGTAAATCATTACTGGACTGGACCAAAGGCAGACAAAGTTCTTCCTCAGAGATTTTTTTGTTTTCGCTGCTGATGACAGCAGAAGGAGCAGAGGGAAACGTTGGCCAAAATCATAATTTGGCGATTTATTTGTTTGTTTGCTTTATTTGCCCCGTCTAGGCCATTGAGAATTATGTTTTAGGTTTTGTCTGAAGCCGACACACAAAGCAGAAGGAGGAGGAATAAGTGTACAGCTTCAATGCCGCCGTCGATATGCATTTAAAGTCTCTTTGACAATTTCTCACTGGCAATTCAATTAGTTTTAATTGCTCGACTTGGCGGACGTTTAAAAATTCCACCCTTCGGCGCGCGGCCATCAATAAAATCAATGCAGAACATAAATCTTCAAGCCTTTCGCTGCACTGGATCGGAATTTGAATTCCGAATCGAATATCTGGCGGAAGCAAAGATAAAGCGCACTGACCAGCGGCGGAACGGGAGGACCTTTTGTTGGACATATGCAGCCAGTCAAGAGGAAAAGGAAGGACACAATGCCTTGGACTTGGCTTGGCTTAGTTGCCAATTTCCTGGCGAGAAAAAACGGGAGAATTATTTGCCAGGATGTCCGAAACATTGCTGGTGTCAACAAATTCCTTTTCAACGGCTGCAAAAAAATGTTCGACCATTGCCAGCTAAAAAAGAACGAGCAGCGAGGCAAAGACAAAATTAATGTGGAGGCATTAGGGAATGTCCTGCTCCCAGGATGTCCTGCTCTAAGTCCTTGGCAATTAAGTATCGTGTTAATTTTTCGACTACCCTACTGCTCTCCGCTTTCTGGCCAATTAACTACTTGGAGAGCAATGGGTACATTTTTAATTGTTTTAATGGATCGTAAATTTCTTTGTACAACTTTTTGATTGTTGTTCTTCCTCACTGCAGACGCTCATTAATTTCGGAATTTAAAATTTCGAAAATCCAACATAAAACTAGGCAGTTTTATGGCTCCAATCGAGAACTACAAAAGCAAATACTTGTTTGCCCAAATTTAATTGCCCTAAGTACATTGTACTCTGGCGTGTTTTGGTTTCCGTTCACTCATAAAAGAATAAATCTGTCTGTGAGATTAATTTCTGATATATGAATTTCGTTTCATCTTTACCCAGTTCTGGTATGAGAATGGATGGCTTTTCGGTCTGGCCAAAAATGTGGGTGGCATTATCCTTCTAACCCAGACAGCTCATCCTTGGTGGCTGTTCATTGAACCATGAGCAGTCGGTGAGGGGAACCGAAGAAGGCAAATCTCGGGCTGTGGGAATGCTCTTTAACGTTTTTGGCCAGGCCTATAAATTCGTTTGGGTCCCTCACAAAATCCTAGATAGTCCTTCACCGGGCACGCCCTCCTACAGCGCATTTAGCATTCCCGTTGTCATTTCTCGGTTGCATCGGCTTTATTTATGTGGCGCCAGGCTGTTACCAGTGCGTTCTTCCCCTTTGGCTTCACTGTATTTGGGGTTAAGGATTTGCACTCCTTTGGTGCGCGATTATTACCAGAAACTCACAGAGGTTCGGAGTGCTTTAAAGGTTGGGTTCGCTGTAACTGGTTTTCAATGATAATGGGGAGTAAGTCCTAACTTTTGCTAATGACAGATGTTGATAGGATCGATTTTTAAGGCTTTTGTTTATTTTTAATCAAAGATATCGGGTTGTGGCTATATTACCAAATTTAATCAACGTACTTACCATTTTGTAGCACTTTTCCGCGCTTAGATGTTTTCACTCCATTTCCTTCCTTAGATTGTAAATTCTTCCTCCTCAGCTGTGCTTACATCATATACTTTCACCACGCCGAAGACTTCCCGCGCTAATAAAGGTTTATTATAGTTTATCGAAAGTGCTCATTATAAAGAAATATTTTTTCGTTATAAAACTTTTGACGTTGGTTTTTAGACGTATTGTATTGCACGATGGTTAATCCTTGTGACTATTTCATATTTATAAGTGTTTGTAAGGTCTTTATAATATCTGGCTATAATAATTGCTCAATTTGCTGTTCGTTGAGTTACTGGTTATATCATATGCGATTATGGTTGATCCTAAGCACTATTTCAACTATTTGAAAAATAGTTATAGGTTGGGTATTTTAGTTTCGAAGTTATAAGAAGTATTTCCTACAATTTCATTATAAAGTGTTTATTAAGTATTATTATAATTGCAGTCAAATGTTGTAACTTGCTTTTTTTCTATTATGTATTATTTCATTTAATTTCAATTTTTTTTTATTTTTTATGTTTTGTTGTGGAAACTGATCTTCAAAGTTGCTTTTCGGATCTTAGTCCTTTGGCGTAATATTTAACATGGTTGAATATTCTTTTTAATATGGTTTTTCGGTGCATCCTTCGCTGGAGATTCCGATGTTCTGGACGATGCTTATCCTTTGGGGCTTCGCTGGCGATTGCCCTGCTGCGTTTGACATGGAGCCGTGGCCAGGACGAGTCCTTTCATTAAGCCTGGCCAGATGAAACAATCAGCTCCTGCCAAATCGCTTGGGTCCGAGCCAGAGTGCCCACCTCCTCGTCCCATCATTCTTGGCACGTTGGTCAGTTCAGCTCACAAGGGCACACACTGTTTACACTCACTTTCTAGCACCACAGAGCAACTGGTTGTCGTTGGATGTTGTTGGCAGTTGCGGAGCAATACTCCTACTGTTTAATTGTTTATTTGCTGTTTCTTATTTGCTGTATGATCGAGACGGACGGGAGTATCCTGGCGGGCAGCGTCAGGTGTTGCGTACTGCCCAGGCTCCACTGTGGTCCTTCATCCAGTGGCCATAAGGCACTGTGTGTCTGTGTGACTGTGTGCCAAGCAGAAGCAGAAACTGAGGGAGCAGAGCTGTCAATTGCCCTGATCTTGGCCCTGATGTTTGAGTTGGCTAATCAAACGCGGACCGTGGCCAAAAAAGTGCGCTGCGTTTCCTCCTCCTCCTGCTCTTCCGCCATCGCCTCCTCAGTTGGCCACATCCTGCGTCACCTGTTTTTGTTGTTGGCCGGCCACTCTTCTTGGCTGGCTACGCGTCAAATTGAGACCCAAACTCCGCTCAATTGGCAGCCGTGCTGCCGTAGATGTTGCGGATCCAACGCGGACACGGACACGGACCCAGACCCGGACCCGGACCCGGATTCAGATTCGGGCCGGGTCCGGTGTTGGCCGCCCTGCCAGCCTTTTGTTGGCTCGCCACACCAGACGCTACCAGTTTGTTGGCCAACTGACTGACGACTGGCCGCGTGGCCTGCCAAAAAGCGAGCCAGAGGCCCTCGAACGATTGCAACGTTCTGAATTCCCGTTCACGTTCCGTTCCGGCGTTCTCTTTGTCGCAGTTCGTCTCTGCTTTTTGTGTCGTCATCGTCGTCGGGGGCTTCTCCTTGCGTTTGCTCTCGCGCCCCCCGCATGCACTCAGAGAAACTGGAGATTTTCGTCCGGGAAATAAACGAAAGAGATTTAAGATTTGATTTCAGATTTAAAAAATTTGAGTTACAAAATAACTTTTAATAATATTTAATACAAAAAACTTAAAAAATGCAAAAGTTTGGTTTTGTGAAAACTTTATCACTAGGCCAATAAATATCTAAGAATTCGGGTTAACTTTTATATGAAACATAATTTTATTAAATATTATTATATAATATTACATCGATAAATATTTTTCCAAGTGTGCAAGGGCTACGCCTTTCTTGCATTGGCACATCCCGTCCATCCCGCTGCTCCGCCGTCTCCTGACCCCCGACCTTCGCCCAACTGGCGGAGCTCCAAGCGAACGATCCCCCCTCCCCTCGGGGAAAATCGTGGCACTTCGTGCGCTGCTCGGAAAATGCTCGTCGCTGCCGCAGAGCTCGTTTGCCTCTGCTGCTGCGGGCTCTCTGCGCTGCCCGCTCTTATTCAGGTTTTTGAGTAATTTTGAATGTTTTCGAGTTTCGAATATTGCGTTTTTCCAGCTCCAGTATTGAGCACGAAAACCAACATTATCAGATGATTTATGACTAGCACGTGGTAGTTGTGGCAAAGGCATATGTTGGTAATGGGGTATTTAAAAAACTTAAAGAACATATTTTAAATTCAGGTAATTTCGAACCTTTTGAAAAAAAATGAATAAATAAAAAAGTATTACATAAGATTTGCACTGCAGTATGTTTCATTTTATTAGTTTCTAAGTGGAATCAAGATGTTATTTGGTAACAATACACAAAAACCCTCCTATTAAACCACAGAAACAATACTGAGTTCAGAATCAATCGCTTGAAATGAGTAATCATGTTGTTATTTGCCCAAATTGTTTTGGTACAAGAAAATCAAATTGATCCAGAGACTATTATTCCAAACCAATTATGAACAAAATGCAGTTGCAGTTGGTAGCGAAGCAAGCAGATCTTCGAAGATATATTCATAAATACATGGCTGCTTTTCGACAAACGCATAAACGCTGCCATAAAATTAGAATTTAAATGAGGCACTAAAAAGTGCAAAAACTACAAAGGAAGAAAGCAAATCGCGAGTAACGAAGAACGAAGGGCCGAAAGGAAGGCCCTTTGTAAACTCCTTGAGCTAAATGAATGCAAATGGTCAACAGGTTTTAGCACATGCAAGGACACACATCTTCGCAGGGCATCGATGCCAATCAGAATAAGTGGACTTAGGAGTGTCCCCAACTCCATCGGGGAATGGAGCACCAGCCATACGCTCTCATCCTGAGTGGATACTTTGTCTGAGTTATGAAACGAGTGGCGCCAGTGTAAAAATTTTATGCAAGCGCAAAGCAAAAATCTCGATGTAAAATTTTAACCAGTGCTAATAAATTTCTAATAAATGCATGTTAGGTAAAGGCCACAATGTTGCAGCGGCACTGATAAAAGCGTTTTTGAGCAAGGAAAAATATTTTATCATTTGAAAAACATGACCATCATAAAATTCAAGTCTTAAATTATATACAAACAATATGCAACGCTTAAAATAATTATGCATTTGGGCTTCAAGCTCAAAATGTATTTAAGGATTCTTTAAACAAATTAGTGGGTAAAAATCGCAGATTTTCTACCAGTGTATTTCTAGGGGTCGCAACTCGCGTGTGTTAATTGAGCACCGATTACGCGGCCATTAATAGGAACCGCCCGCCAAAGGACGAAGGACGACAGTCATTTAACCATCGGCAGCAAAAAGTGTGACAACAATGCGAGCCACACGTTGACCGCAGCAGCACGTGCTGCCAGCGGCCAAAACAAGTACTCTCCTCCGGATGCCTCATGCCGGAGCACCACCTGCCCTCCATCTAATGCCACCGCCATTCGATTCGGGTGGAACTGCTGCTGCTGTCGCCCTGTTTCCGCTACCAACTAAACGTTTATTTATGGCCCGAACAGCGCCAAAGGACAACAACGCCATCCCCGATCCCCAAACCACTTTCCCGTCGAATTCCTGCGCCACTTCAGCGAGACAAAGGCCAGGCCAAAGATAAACACACGAGTTCGTGGTAGGGTGGCTCCCACGTGCGTTTTGACTTTTGTAAAGGCTTGCAAAAAACCTGAAAATGCTGGAAAATGTAACTTAAACGTAAAATTTATATGTATCATTATTTTTTATAGAAATGTGAAATGGTCTACGCAATCATATTGTTACACATTGCATACAGTAAATAATTTCCAATTATTGTATCAAACATGTCGTATGAGTATGATATAGTCCTATAAAGCTGATATCTTTGAACTATGTCTTACCTTTTGGTTTTGTTTGTACTTCATTTGGAAATTTATATTTAATATTTTGTAACCAGGACAATGCCCTCCATTTTTCCAAGTCCACCCTAGTGCATGGTGTACACTACACACATATCCCACTTTACTGAGCATCTCTTCACTGTTGCCAACAGTTCTTCTAACTGGGCAGTAAAAGCCCATTGAAAAGTGGGCAGGGAATCCAGGCTGAGAGCAAAAAGCGAAAGGTCGCCACATCTTGATTTTTGCCAAACAAAACATTTTGTCGAGCACTTGCTCACCGAGACGGCGGTGGCTATAACTGTATTTGGTTATGTTAGTCACGTGGCCTCCACTTGGCTGTTGCCAAATTGCTGGACAGCAGAGGAGGGGGTCGGTGGAAAGGGTTCAGCTTCCTTGGCTAGAAAAACCGCAGTATTTTTTTTATTGGTAACCGAGGACCTTGTATGGACAGAGGGAAATTTCCTGAAGTTTGGTTACATTAACTGAATTATTAGAAACACCATATTTAAAGCTATTATTATGCCAGCTATATAAGATATATCCCTAAATATAAATTAAGTTTTTAATAGCTTCTGCAAGCCCGAATATACTAGGAATGGCTTAAGTCAACCAACCATTTAAACACTTTAGGACAGCCAAATATGTTAGTTTGTTGGCCTTATCTACACTCCTTTTTATAGCCCTTTAAGCCCCGAAAAGCGTTGGTTTTTCTTTTATTTACTCAAGTACCAAGAGGAATTTCTAATCGTTTTCCTGGAAATTACCTTCCATCCGTTTTTCGGTTTTTGCCAAAGGCGTTGAGTTGATAATTTCCTAAGCCCGCACAAAATGCCGAGCAGAGACAATGAAGAGTCACCCACATTATCGTATTGTTTTCAGGTCATTAAGTTTGCCCACAGACGGGCGATGGAAAACATACCGAACAGAAAAGCCAAGGAAAGTGTCGCTTAGGCGAATAGAAAAACAATTGAAAATTGAAGTGGCAATTAAAGGTTGTCCCTTTTTCGAGGAGAATGTTTAAGCCGAGCTGGGATAACAATTTAATGCACATATGCCGAGATTTATGTGTTTTGAACGCAGGGCAAGACAAAAGCGACATTTCGTTTTAGACAATATTTTTCTTTTGGGGAAAAGGCAGCAATCTGAGTATGAGAATGCCATAAAGAAGGAATCATCCCGTTCCGTTGCCATTTAAATGTACGAAATTGTTTTTGCCGCTCGCTGGCATCCTCTGACAGGATGCGAAAACGTTTGAATATTCCTTCCTCTGCCCAGAACATTGTATCCTTTTTCTGTCTCCACATATACATATATATATATTTATTCTGTTTTGTCGCTGTCGGCGATTTTTTGCATGGCCGCGTATTTGGCATCGCGATAGCGCCAGGAATTGTCTGCCCAGCACCAGAAAATGCAGTTCAGATATCGGCCATCCAGTCGACAGGGGGCTATGCTGGAGTTCCCCCCATCGAAGATTGGAGAACCGCAGCTTAGACGAACACCATCCGCATATTAATTTAATTTGCCTTGTTGACTCGGTCGGTCAGCCGACTCGTCTGCATTCAAAATGCGTTTTTGTGCAGTGCAGAAGGCAGTGGAAAATCACATAAATACGCGAAAACATTCGTCATTTGCATTCAAGTGGGCCTCTATGGTCTTTTCTTGTATTTTTTAATCAGATTCTAACCTAAGTTGAATACTTTTGGTTCTTTGAAACCAGGGCAAACTTGCGGACTGTCTTGCTGTGAAAGTTTCACCGTTGCCAATGCTGTGATTTGTGCCCCACCTGGCAAACAGCAGAAGAGCACGTGATTGATGCAAATCCTGGTTGCATGATTACAAAATTATATGGAAAAATAATAATATAATAAATTATAAATTAAAAGAAGGAGTTATATTTGTGTGTATACTATAAACGTGGTATCGATGGATAAGAAATCAAGTGGAAGTGGCCCCCTATAGATCCTTTTTTGGATGTGATTCTTGGGACTATTTATTATTATATTCTTTTGTTTTCCTTCTTGTTGGGTATTTTCATTTCTTATTATAGGTGAAAAACAGTTGAACTGAAAAATTCATTAACAAGTTATAAGCAATTGATGTAACCGTCGCTAGGTGGCGCTCGTGTGGAATGTCTGAAACTGTAGCTTTGCTGCTGTATATCTCCGCAATTTGACTAAAGGGTACCTTATATTCGCGACTCATGACTATAGCGTTTTCTATAGCGTTCTTCTACACCTGTGACAGCATACGCTTTCACTTAATCACCAACTTGTTGGGCCCAAAAGAACTTAAAGTACACGCAAGTCAAGCGCACTTATTCGTACAACTTAATAATGACAAAAGACTGCGCCAGTCAGCATTTGCGGCGTCGAAATATTCCCAACAGGTGTAGACGCCACATCCAATTGCAAAGCTATTTTCGGTCATCGGAACGATGACATCGTTGTATTGCTCCTCCCATTCCGACTTGGCTATAAATACGTGTATGTGTATGTAAATATTTGTGGGGATGTGCAGCTGGAGAGGCAACTAAATGCATCTGCAGAACTCCGCAGATCAACTTTAGCCCGCAAGAATCGGAAGTGAATGGTTATGGCCACCCGCAACATTGCGGCA